TATATATATATATATATATATATATATATATACATATATATATATACATACATATATACATATATATATATACATACATATATACATATATGTACATATACATTCATATATACATATATGTACATATACATATATATATATATATATACATATATATATATACACATATACATATATATATAATGTGTGGGTGTGTGTTTGTGTTAGTATTATGTAACCATATTACATACTGTGATTTACTTTATATTTACCTACATCAGTGATTTTATAATATGCTAATGTTCATTATCACTTTCTTCATCACTATCACTGTCTGATGAATCAGAAACACTCGACAACAATGGAAAGTTGTTGAAGAAACTCCCTTCCGCTTTGCAGTTACACATTTCAGTACACTGAAGATTATTTCTCCTACAGTGCATGTATTATTTGAAAATGTACATATTGAACAGGTACATCTGATAAGCTCAGCAATAGTTTCATGGGCAGCCTGCTTTTATGACAAGACAGGTCTCAATTTACCATCTTCCATAACCCAGCCCAGTTTGCATGGATCAGGGATTTCTGGATGAATAACAGTATCCTGGCTCCATATATTGGGCTGCAGATGTACACGCAATATATGCTGATATAAGGCTCCTGCAGTTGGTGGCAGCTTATCTACACCTTGATTGTTTGGCAGAGTTTTGAATCTTTTCCATCGCAATGTTGAGGCATCTTTAGCAGATACTTTCTTCGTTACGAGAAGACCACACAAATTCCAGTATTCATGCCAAGCTGTGGAAGTCTTCCGAAGATCAATACAAACCAGTCTGTATCATTTCCAGATTCAGAGGCCACTTCTATGCCATGGGGAATCATTAGAGTATCAGCTTCTGTGCTTACAGATGTTATTGGAGGATGCTCTGGAGTGTTTGTTTTGACATCTTGCCGTGTGAATTGTGACAGGTACCGCTGAAACCAGAAGAAGAGTGGCTCTTCAGCCAATATACGATCATCTTGGACCAAAAAGAGCAGTGACACTACCAGGCTCCCATGCTATCACCGGTTGTGATAAAAATTTTCAGGCCCGTAGCCAGGTTCTTTCAAAGGGGGTTTTCTGGGCGTGAGGTCCACGGTCGAAGCCCCCAAAGCAAGGGGATTTGGATTTTTGTGCTTTATGGGTCTAAATAATGCTATAAAAGCAGATATGTTTGAAAAGGTCTTTGTCTGGGTGGGTTTGCAGTGCACCAGGTGGGTTGGACGACTTATTTGGGAAATCTGAAGAAGGGGTTCGCCAGAAATGAGGGAGGTTTGCTAGAAAAAGAGGGTTCTCCCGAACCATAAAACCCCCTCTGGATACAAGCTGAGTTGCTGAGCTGTTGTCTAGTGTTTCTCATTCATCAGATAGTGACAGTGATGAACATCAGCACATTATAAAATCACTGATGTAGGTAAATATAAGTAAATCACAGTATGTAATATGGTTACATAATACTAACACACACACACACACCCACACATTATACATATATATATGATATATATTTATATATGATATATATATATGCTGTTATGGTAATGATAATAACAGCATATGGCAATTGCATATAACTAGCTCTATCAAAGTTTTTGTACAGTTCGGTTATTATTATATTAATATGTATGCTAAAAAGCTAAAATAATGGAAAATGGCAGCCATTTTAAATTGTAATAGCTCAAAAATGTGTACAATATTTAGTTAACTGTTGCTGTCATTGTTATGAGTGGATTTCCAATTGAATACTGCATTTTAATGACAAATTTACAATATTAGTGACAATTTTAGGAAAAAATGGCGGCCATTTTGAAACGGCTGGCAACCCCCTTATGTATGAAAAAAAAAATGTTACACATACTTTTTTGATTTATCTATGTCTACTCTACATCATATCCAATTTTTAAAAAATATAGCAAAAAAAATGCAACCAACCAAAGTTTGCTGGACTATAAGTTGTAAATATGATTTTATAGATCATAATGGCTGATCGGACATTGTGACGTCATCATATTGGCATCTGAATTCAAAGAAATTGACTTATAGCTATGACATTAACATGCGCACAGGCGTCAAGACGTTCGCGTACGCAAGCATAAATCTTTTAAAATGTTTCAAGTTACACTTTTATAACAAAACTGATTTTATCGATGACGTCATTTTTGAAAATACGCATTTGAGCGTATCTCGGTTTTCCTTGATCGATCGTCTTCCAACTTTGAGTATGTTATAGCTAAGACAATTCTCTTTCATATATATGACTTCTTTTTACATTTTGATGATGTCATCATGATCAGAAAAAATGTTTTTTCTGACCCCCCCCCCTCATCTTTCTTTCCTTTAAACGTTGATGAGCCCATTTCATCTTAACCATTCATCATTTCTGAATCATATTAAGTGAGCATAATCTTCAGGTCAATATTGAATGTCATGTACCTTAATTTTTCTTTCGCACTTTTTAGCGTGCAGGTACGCGTGCGTTAAAATTTATGTATACATAAAAATATCAATATTTTAAATCAGTTATAGCTCCTTAGAATGAAAGGTAACCCCCAATTTTTATTACATATTCTAAAAGCACATGGGATGTAGATACGATTTTATAGATGATAATGGCTGATTGGACACTGTGACGTCATAATATTGCCATTTAAATTAAAGACAAAACTGAATTTTTATTTTACGACTCGTTTGAACGTATTTCGCTTATTCTTGATTGTCTCCCATCTGTGAGTATGTTATAGCTGAAACAATTCTCTATCGGACGCGTACATTTATTTTTTATATTGATCAGGTCAGCATGGTATAAAAGAATGAATTTTTGTAGCCATTTTATCTCACATGCTTAAAAGATGTAAAAAAAAAATGAAAAATACAATTTAGAGAGGGCGGCAGACTGTATTTTGATGCTATCAGACTGATATAGGTCATATGAAGGGAAAATTCGTGTGGCATTACCAACAGGCGGTTTTAAAAACACTTGACAATGTTTAATTTCGTGTGCCATTACCGTACACGGACACATTGCGACGTGCGCGTATGTTAAAATTTGAAAATTCTCAATATCATATTCAGATAGTTTAAAGTACGTTTCAGGTCATTTTTAGAATTCCAAAACTTTCCATAATTTATGCGCCGTATGTTCATTTCCACGCTCACAGCACGTACTAAGGCTAGTAATTACGTTTTGTTACATATTTTGTGTTCCTGACACTGTATTCATATCAGGAGTCACTCTTTGTGCAATTACCGTCTCATGGGCGTCGAATCTAGTTTGAATATTATGTGGTTTAATACACATAAAAGCAACTTGTAACCTACATTTCCTGTTATCTGATCTATTACACACATGTACTACCCAGCCAGCCTATAGGCCTAGTTCGTCTTCCTCTAGCTCTAGGCCAGCCTGCATTACAGTAGTGTACATTGTTTATCTCTCAGGGGAGAGACCACCCACCCTTGCAAGCACCACAAAACAGCTCATTCTTCACTGCCAACTAGACTCGTGCAGACGCATTTATTAGCTGCAAAGCTTA